TATCATACATAGATTATCAAAAGTTATTTAAAGCATAACCAATCCCACTATCAGTACTCGATCAAATTTAATTAATTTTTAATCAATGCCACATTTTAAAACCAAATTTTTCATGTAAAATATAATATTTTTACACGACATACAGGGTGTCAAAAATTGTTTGAAACAAAAATTAATCGTAGTCAAAATTAATACCTAACTTCAGAACCAAATTTTTAATCAATATACATATGACACATAGATTATCAAAAGTTATTTAAAGCATAACCAATCCCACTATCAGTACTCGATCAAATTTAATTAATTTTTAATCAATACCACATTTTAAAACCAAATGTTTCGTGTAAAATATAATATTTTTAACAGGATGTCAAAAATTGTTTGAAACAAAAATTAATCGTAGTCAAAATTAATACCTAACTTCAGAACCAAATTTTTAATCAATATACATATGACACAAAGAATATCAAAAGTTATTTAAAGCATAACCAATCCCACTATCAGTACTCGATCAAATTTAATTAATTTTTAATCAATGCCACATTTTAAAACCAAATGTTTCGTGTAAAATATAATATTTTTACACGACACACAGGATGTCAAAAATTGTTTGAAACAAAAATTAATGGTAGTCAAAATTAATACCTAACTTCAGAACCAAATTTTTAATCAATATACATATGACACATAGAGTATCAAAAGTTATTTAAAGCATAACCAATCCAACTATCAGTACTCGATCAAATTTAATTAATTTTTAATCAATGCCACATTTTAAAACCAAATGTTTCGTGTAAAATATAATATTTTTAACAGGATGTCAAAAATTGTTTGAAACAAAGTGTAAACCAATCTACCAACGCCTAGTTATAATCCTAGTCAAAATTAGTACCTCCCTTCAGTATTAAATTTCAGCCCAATATCTGTCACAATCCACCCAGCGCCAGAACATTTTTCGAAACCCAGCCGACTGATCAGCTGGGTTCATTTAACCCTAACCGCATACATAACCTTCTCCCTCGAAACCTCGAGGCCTCGGTGAATCGATTATTCCAGCCGGCGGGAATTCCCGCGTGGAGATATGTATATCAGAAAATCGTAGCGACGAGCGGTTTCGCGCATTCTTCGTTAAATCATTTATTTCACGGGGAAAAATGTCATCGGCAGACAGGGACGTTTATGGTTGGAGGGGAGGGGAAGTGTTGCGAGAGAACGAAGCGCCACCACGCTCAAGAATCCCGAACCGCGTCGGATACCGGCGATCCAGCGATAAATAATATTCACCGTTCCGCTGTCAAAAGCCTGCCCGTGGGTGTTCGCACGTAAATGATATATATTTATCCCCGCGCCGATTCGCCGCGGCGATAACACGGCGTAATCAATAACGCGGGCGACTTAATACGCCGAGAGAGAAGAAAGTTTCTTTCCCGTCTGCGGACTGGGATGTATGAACCCTGAGAAGGAGGAGGAGCAGCGGCGGGGAGGACTGCGCGCTTGTCTCTCCAAGCGATTTCCGGATAACTCGTAGCATTCTTCTACTTTTCGACTTTTTCTTTTTTTTTTTTTTTTTTTTTTTTTTTCCACGGTGTTACTTCATTGCAGTTCTGTTCATTGCAGTCTGTCATTGTGTTTGGAGTGAAGCGTAGGAAGCCGGTACAATGTCGTCGATGATACATATTCGGCATACGAGGTGATTGCGGACCGTAACGAGTGACCAAACCGTGTACCGTATAATTCGTCGCTTTCCCTTCGAACTCGTCGTCGGTATGACACCACCGGACTAGAAATTATCGAGAAGTAGAATAGATTCATTATTTTATCGTCCCAAGATAGTAATACGCTCAGTTTTAAGTATATTTATGTGTAACCCATGCGCCAGCAAGGTAAATCCGTTTCATATGGAAAAATTGTTTTCAAGCAAATCGATACCCAAAGGGTTGAGGCACAAGCCTCAACTGTGGAAACGTAATGTAATAACACGTTCTCAGGCACGATTTCCTCGTTTCTCCGCAGCGAGAGAACGGAGAGGAGAGAAATCCTGGAAAAAAAGGAAGCATGCGCGTGTTGCTCGCGCGATGGCGAGAACGAAACGGACGAGCGGTTAAGAGCCTGATAGAACTCGAATCCTTCGGAGGGATCTTTGCGGAGAGCCGCGAGCGTTTGACGGACGGACAGATAGGGCGCAGTTCTGCTTTCACCTCGCCGCTTTGAAGACCAGCAAAAACGTAGATGTGCCCAAAGGCAGCAGCGAGACCTCGCCATCGCCCGGCGGAAACCCGCGTCCATGTCACTTTTGTTTCTGTTATTGAATCGTTTCGCCTGGTACACGTTGTACTCGCGTATATTTTTATCGAGCATCCGCGCGGGAACACACGAGTGTTCCAGGAAGGAAAGTGCACTTCGTTCGTATTTCTCCTCGTCTCGTATCTTCTTCTGGTTACAGGCGTCTGTAACGTGCTTTCGAAGCGTGTTTGGAATACGCGTGGCTTGGTTTGTAATTTGTACGATTTCTCGTGTTGAAAATGTGTAATCAGGCTTCACAGAAAGTAGTTTTTAATTGCGAAACGAAAGAAACTAGTTTCTTTCCTTCATTGGCATCTAGTGATCCCTAGATTCATGTCAGAAAATTATTATCCCTAGATTGGAACGTTCTGCGTTGAACACTGGAGGCATGTATTGAAATCAAGTTGAATTTCTGTTTTAGTAGAAATTGTTTAGGTATAATTATTTGGTGAAGTACTAAACGAAAATTGACACAGTATTTAGAATAAAAACATGTGACTTGGTTTGTGGTATTGAAAGGTGAGAGACCAAATGTTAAATTAGGTTTCCTAGATTTTAGTAGTTAGTGGTCTAGTAACTTTTAATTGCAAATCGGAAGAAACTAGTTTTCTTCAGTGGCATCTAGTGATCCCTAGATTCATGTCTGGAAATTATCCCTAGATTAGAACTGTTGATTGATTCTCTTTCAAACCAAAAGCCAAATTAAATTTCTGGTTTCATAGAAGTTGTTTAGATAGTAATTTTTGGAAATGGGTGAAGTACTAAACGAAAATTAACACAGTACTTAACATTCTCTAGACGTATAAACATATTTCTCAGCGAAAAGGCATTTAAAGATGTTACAGTGTATTTAGAATACACGTGACTTGGTTTGTGTATTTTTTTCTATTGAAAATATGTAGTATAGGTTAGGCTTTTCAGATGTAATTTTTAATTGTAAGACTAAGGAAAAAAGAAACTAGTTTTCTTCACTGGTATCTAGTGATTCCTAGATTCATGTCAAAATATTATTATCCCTAGATTGGAACGTTCTGCATTGAAAACTGGAGGCATGTATTGAAATCAAATTGAATTTCTGTTTTAGTAGAAATTGTTTAGGTATAATTATTTGGTAATAATAATTATTTGGTAATGGGTGAAGTACTAAATGAAAATTGACACAGTACTTAGAATAAAAACATGTGACTTGGTTCGTGGTATTGAAAGGTGAGAGACCAAATGTTAAATTAGGTTTCCTAGATTTTAGTAGCTAGTGATCTAGTAACTTTTAATTGTAAGTCGGAAGAAACTAGTTTTCTTCACTGGCATCTAGTGATCCCTAGATTCATGTCAGGAAATTATCCCTAGACTGGAACATTCTGTATTGAAAACTGGAGGGCAAGTTTACTAATAAGTTAATAAAAGAAATTAAATTTCTGTTTTAATAGAAATTGTTTAGATTGTAATTTTTGGCAATAGAAGAAAAGCAATTGCAAAGTATCGTACGAAATTAGCTGATGTTCTCATTCATGGATATTCGTTGTATTTCTCATAGGAACGGTGAAAAAGATACGATTATTTACCCGATCTTAGCTAAGTTTCCACGGTTTTGTATCTCTAGACATCGCGGTCCCGATTAGAATCTAAATCTGTCCCACGTCGGAGTACGTGTTGTAAGAAAACGTGAAATATCAGCCGGCCTGATTACGTCCGCAGTCTAATTAGCCAAGTATTTCGAGGTCTTTCGGAACGATCGATTCGAGATTCCACAGAGAATGACTTGACGTCGGCCCAGGTTTTTCCCATAAGACCATACTCGCGGGTGATCGTTCCCATTTCGATACCCAGGGTATCGAAAACATCCTTTACTCTAAAATAAAAATAGTGCGAGAAAGTATCGCTCGGAGGGAATTTCTCAAATAATTCATGAAACAATGCACTTTCAAATAACGTTAGAATAATATCGAGAATATCTTTTATGATATGAAAATTGCGTGAAAAAAATTACCTGATGATACAACTCTTCACGCAGTTTAAACAACGAAATAATGTTAAAGTAAATTAATATGAAATAGAATTATATTATATTATATATAAAATTATATATAATAAAATTTGTTAAAATTTGTTAATTAAATAATATTAAAATAAAATTTGTTAATATATAATTATACATAAAATAATACTAAAATGAAATTTATTAATACATAATTATATATAAAATAATACTTAAATAAAATTTATTAATATATAATTATATATAAAATTATATTAAATAAAATTTATTAATATATAATTATATATAAAATAATATTAAATAAAATTTATTGATATATAATTATATATAAAATAATATTAAAATGAAATTTATTCATACATAATTAATATATAATTATGTATTATTATATATTAATATATAATTAATATAATATATAATATAATTAATATATAATAATATATAAAATAATAAAATAAAATTTTTTAACATATAATTATATATAAAATAATATTAAAGTAAAATTTATTAATATATAACTACAGATAAAATATAATAATATATAATTATATATAAAATAATAAAATAAAACTTGTTAATACATAATTATATATAAAATAATATTAAAATAAAATTTATTAATGTACAACTATAAATAAAATATAATAATATATAACTGTAAATAATAATTATATATAAAATAATATTAAAATAAAATCTGTTCTCGAATGTTTCAGGTTCGAGACTTGGTGGAGAGGTGCACGTGCCCGACGCAGTTCCCGATGATATGCGTCTCCGAGGGCAAGTACCGTATCGGAGACACGAAGGTGTTGATCTTCGTGCGAATTCTTCGAAGCCACGTTATGGTGCGAGTGGGTGGCGGCTGGGACACCCTCAGCCATTATCTGGACAAGCACGACCCCTGCCGATGCAGGACCTGTAAGTTAACTCTCGACACGTCTCCCAAATTTTATTTTCGCTTTATTTTCCCCCCTCTTTGTTTTTTTTTCTTTTCCTCGCCTTCTTCTCTTTTTCGGTGTCATTCTCTCAGGAGGCGTTCGCCCCTTGAAACGGACGAAGAGAAAAAGAAAAAGAGAGAAAAAAGAAGAAAAATATTGGACACGGATGAACAGTTTAAACAAGGATGAGCTCACTGTCGTCGAAAATAAAGATGATGATCGGACACTTTCGATTTTGTTACGTGTTTACTAGCGCGTTACAACAATTCCCATCTTGCTTGGAAATTAACGAGGCGTCGTAGGATTTCTGCTTGTCAAAGAACGATTTAAACGCGTCTCCCTCTTTCTCTCTGCAAGAGGAAGATCGATGATTTTAACGGGATTTTAATTCGAGCTGACAAATCGTTCGGGCCGAGATTGTAATTTTAGAGAAATAAACGTTTAACGTTTCCCCGTGTCGTTGTGCAGGTGTGACTTATGCCTGCGATAATCTTTCATTGCGTCACACGCGTAAATTACGCGTTATTGAATAACCAGAGTTAACGATTTAATAACTCGACGTTGATTTAACTGAGTATTATGTTCGATAATGTGTCTCTTTTAACAAATCGTAGTTTTAATAAGAAAAAGAAAAAAAAAAAAAAAAGGAAAAAAGAGGAAAAGAAACTCGTAATATTTGCGTCATTCGACGCAGAGATTGGAGGTGTTGCAATTCTCTCTCGATTAAAATATTTCCGTCGTAAAGTACACTGTTGCATCTCGCGTGTCAGTGTGATCAAATTATATAATCCATTCGTGGCAATTCGATGCAATTCAATTCTGATTTGAGCGACGAGTGGTATCATTCATTCAAGAAGGGAATTATAGTTCTTTTAATCGTCCACCAATCACGCGCGTAAATTATACGTTTGTTGAACGACAGAATTTACGAGATCCTGGCTTTATAGAGTCTCTCATCTTAAGTGAGACATGATTCTCGTTTCTTTCGAATTGTCACATTTTCATTTAACTCTCGGTCAGTTGTGCAGTTATCAAATATATAGACGATAGTGAAACTGTAACGATAGTGATTTATAAAAATCATACTTCTCGTTCGACGTGTGCCAGAATGATTCGAAAGATCGCCCAGCAGTCTAGTTATAATAAATTGTAAGATTTGGTTTAGCGAGTCGCTGTATAATCCGCACTTAAACTGCGTTGCGACTTAAAATAATGAAAATAAAAATAAAAAAAGAACACTCGAGAGAACGAAATAAACTAAAAATCTGGCATAGAAATTTGATTATCAAGTATAGAGAAAGAAATTTTACAAATATTACACTCCTGTCCATAAGTCAGCGTGACATTACGACAAAATGAGGTAATTATATTTGATGAAATAACTTATTTTACGAAACGAAATTACTACTTACTACATATGTATAATATCTAGAATACACATAGTATATATGTCAAAAATCTTACCAAGTTATAGTGGTAACATATAATGTATCTTACATCTTTGTGCAGATATGACGGCTAGAAGTAACCGTGGGCATCCTTTCATTTAATTTTAACAATATTTCGGATCATGGATTTCTTTCCACGCTTCTTCTAATTTCTTCCATAAGTCTTTTCTCCGATTTTGCACAGACTTCTGATGTCTTCTGTCCAATTCATCGATTGGATTTTTTAAACATATATACATACTTTTGATATACTTTGAAATATTTATTCAGACCGATATATATATAAAATATCCGTTGTTTTCAAGCTTCATTATTATAAAATAGAGTAAATGAAGTACATATAACATATAAGATTGTATAATAAAATCAACCCAGAAAAGTATATCTCTATTCTAGTAACTATTTATTGATACAAAATGGCAGTTTAGTTCAAGATCTCGACCATATAATTTGGCAGTGCCCCAGTCTCAACGACAATAGGAATCTCTTAATTAATAAACTATGTGGAATGGGTTATTTCCCTCCCCACACAATGGACTTCTTTTTAAGCAAACCATATATATTACTCCTCTGTTGATTATTCACAAATTTCTCAAAAGCCACAGTTGGCATCTGTACCAGATTTGTGTCGAATGCTTAGCTATGTTTCTCAGTGACTCAACAGTTCTCTTATTTTTAGTTGCAAGCTCTAGTTATAAGTATGTAAATAGCAAACATGTGTCTTAGTTGTATATCAGCCTAATCCTTGTACAAACGTTTGCGAAATTGTTTCTGTACTGTTAGTATGCACAGCAATATGCATGCTGCTAATAACCCTGTAGAAGGTTCTTAGTTCAAGATCTCGACCATATAATTTGGCAGTGCCCCAATCTCAACGACAATAGGAATGTCTTAATTAATAAACTATGTGGAATGGGTTATTTCCCTCCCCACACAATGGACTTCTTTTTAAGCAAACCATATATATTACTCCTCTGTTGATTATTCACAAATTTCTCAAAAGCCACAGTTGGCATCTGTACCAGATTTGTGTCGAATGCTTAGCTGTGTTTCTCAGTGACTCAACAGTTCTCTTATTTTTAGTTGCAAGCTCCAGTTATAAGTATGTAAGTAGCAAACATGTGTCTTAGTTGTATATCAGCCTAATCCTTGTACAAACGTTTGCGAAACGTTTGTTTCTGTACTGTTAGTATGCACAGCAATATGCATGCTGCTAATAACCCTGTAGAAGGTTCTTAGTTCAAGATCTCGACCATATAATTTGGTAGTGCCCCAATCTCAATGACAATAGGAATGTCTTAATTAATAAACTATGTGGAATGGGTTATTTCCCTCCCCACACAATGGACTTCTTTTTAAGCAAACCATATATATTACTCCTCTGTTGATTATTCACAAATTTCTCAAAAGCCACAGTTGGCATCTGTACCAGATTTGTGTCGAATGCTTAGCTGTGTTTCTCAGTGACTCAACAGTTCTCTTATTTTCAGTTGCAAGCTCCAGTTATAAGTATGTAAATAGCAAACATGTGTCTTAGTTGTATATCAGCCTAATCCTTGTACAAACGTTTGCGAAATTGTTTCTGTACTGTTAGTATGCACAGCAATATGCATGCTGCTAATAACCCTGTAGAAGGTTCTATAACGTAAATAAATAAAAAAAACCTATTTGACTCAAAATAAGCAAATGTCCGGTGACTTATGGACGAGAGTGTACATGTCTCCACTGTCCAAGGGTCAAAATCACGTTACTTTAAATGTTCAATCGTGCACGAGCTCCGACTTCGCTCGAGCGTAAGCCAAACATCCTGAAAAGGAAGAAAAAAGGGCAGGGAAGATTAATGATAGTCGCGTTCATTTTCCAACGTTAAATCCACGAGCAAACGCGCTCGCGCCTCGTCTTTTCGTCTCGAGGCATTGAAATCGCCGAGCTTACTTAAGGTGCTTATTAACCTCTAAACGACGCGGACGTTTCAATTATCCTTTAACGAGCTTATCCTACAGCCACAGCGGGGAACCTTGTCTGCGAAAAAAAACGCGCCTATCGTGTAACAAATTGCGCCATCCACAGCATTATGCACGCACATGTACACGTCACGTGTTTTTCCTTGTTATTACTATTGTTGTTGTTGTTATTGTTGTTATTGTGTGTTGTTATTATTATTGTTATTATTTTGTTGTTATTTTTTTCCCCCCTTTTGCTTGTTGCAGCTCATCGCTCGATGATCTCGGCGAAGTTGATTCAAAAGGCCGGAGGGTCGTTCGACCTTGGCAGCGCACAGGTGCATTACGAGAGGTGAGTAATTTTCTTGGTTCTAACGTGTCATTTGTCTGTCGGCGGTCATTCATTCTAGAGCCGGAGATTTTCTGTCGCGCTTCCTCGATAAAATGATCGCTGGCTCGAGGAGATTACGTCGCATGCTTCTATCAGAGCGAGTAACCTCGGCCAATCTCGCCTCCGTTTAAACGTTTTGCTTGCATTTCGCGGACGTGGTCGAAATATCTCGAGTTTTCGTCTGTGTTTCTTTTTTTTTTTACAGTCAACAGTTTTCGTCTTTTCCTTTTCGAATTTTTACACTCGGTCGCTGAAAATTTCGAGAAGTCCGCGAACCTCGAGCGGTTTTTAAATTTTAAAAAGAGGAAAGTTTTGTTTCCTTGTGTTTGTTCTCGCAACTAACCCATGTCACTAACCCTTATGTCCGGAAATCTTAACATCATCTGCTTCGTTTCTTGCTGACATGTCTTCAATGTCTATACTATCTGATCTATGACCCCTCGGCATGCGAATTTCTTTTGGAATTCTTTAGACGAAAATTTACCAGCGATTGCTTCGTTGAAAAGAGTATGAAGCACGTCTCAGAGACGCTTATTGTCAACGTTAGCTCAAAAAATCGTGCGACATCATTGCGCGTTAAGGGGTTATAGATCAGAGAACGAAAATTAAAGATTAAAGAATGAACATTCTCTAAACACTAAAACTTGGAGATTAAGTGATGAACGAGTACGCGTAAGCGATTTTGCAACGGAGGGGGTAGGCAAAGTGCGTCTTTTCTTTTCGAAAAAATAAAACGTACAAAAGTACAAAAGTCAAAAATCTCGGAAACCGCGAAGAGGACGAAAGTGGTTAAAAAAAATTCTCGAAAATTCTCGAAAATCCGACGGACAGAACGCGTGTCCCCGGGTTTGCCTGCCCCTGACGCGTTCCAGAGAGAAAAAACCGGCTGCTGATCCGCAGATCACCTCCTAGAACACGACGGAGCTCGGCGTCGAGCGTCGGCTCGTGCGCGGGCACAGCGCAGAATCAGCAGTCGGCGCAGCTGCACGCGGCCAGGAGCGTCTCCAGCAATCGGTCCCGATCGCCCACGCCCCACCAGCCTGCCAGCAAGCAGCAGCAATCGAACAGCGACGAGCAACGAAAGATCAACCGATCGAGGAGCCCAACGCCGCAGAGGAAGTTCCTGGGCAGCCCCGGCCATCAGCCGGACTTCGGCAAGCAACAACGATCCAGATCGCCGACACCGAGGCCTCAGCTCCGATCCAACAGCCCGACGACCAAGCTCGAGCACGCGAAACACGGATCGTACGTGGACTCGTCTGCTAGAACATCGAACGAGGAGTCTCGTTCGCCGACTCATTACGGAAGGCATCAGGAAGCTAAGGTGAGCGTGTGAGGAGATTTGGAGAATCTTCTCTGGGTGGAGTTTATTTATGGGTGTGTTATTTGGGGCTTCTGACTGAGAAATTAGAAGTTTTTGTATATACGTTTGTAAAACAATGTATAAACATTTACATTCTGGAAGAAATTAGTTTTTAAAATGCCCGCTTGTCCGATTTGTCCGTAGGATGCGAAGAACGTTCAGGAGACGCGCACGAAAGTGCCCCTGACGGAGGAGTTCACGAAACGATACGTGGTGGACGGTGGCGTGGCCCGCAGAACAGTGGAGAGAGACGACACGCCGAAATACGAGCCGACAATCTACAACTACAAGTGTCGCGAGGACTCGAGTAGCCGCAGCCCAACGCCGAGTCCACCGGCGATCAAGGAGCCAGTGTTGGAAAGTTTCAGCAAAGACGTGACCGGGAATGTACACTATACAAAGTCGCCGCACGACGGGGAGCATTCGGACAATTGCAGCGAAGTGTCCGACGAGGGTTACCGAAGCTTAGGAGCGGTTCAGCCGGCTAGCGGAAATGGAAATCCCGCGACGTGCACGCAGGGTTCGCCTACGGTTGCCGATTGTCAAAGTGAGTGTAATTTTCTACCTATATTGATCTCGTTTTGATTTTCGATTTTACCTGAGTTATCGACGAAATTTATCCATTAATGTTAATTATAATAGTTGAGTCATTCGATTGGGGAATTGATCCTTAAGACGTTTAAGTTAAGCGACTTTGAGTCTTCTTTTTAGGTTTCCTAGTCTCCATTGTCTACAAACTTAGAGTAGAGTACTGTCCGTTGTTTATTGTAGATAAGCATGGAACTTGTAGTGATGCAAATATATTCCTTTTTGAATAAAAAAATTTAGCAGATTGGCTATGGTGAAATAACTTTGAAGATATAACGAGAATATAGCAGAATAGAATATAATAGTAGAGATACAATATAGAATAGTAGAGTGTAGAATATAGAATATAGTATAGAATATAATAGTAGAAATATAAAATATAATAATAATAGAGATATACTATAGAATAGTAGAGTGTAGAATATAGAATATAGTATAGAATATAATAGTATAAATATAATATAAAATATAATAATAATAGAGATATACTATAGAATAATAGAATATAGAATATAGAACATAACGTGGAATATAATATATTTAATAGTAGAGTATAGAGTATAATAGTAGAGTAGAATATAATAGTATTGAAGACATAACATTTGATGTTAGTTACGGTAAGACAACTTTGAAGATATAACAAGACAAGATAGCGAAATCTTTTTCAATCATAACTTTAAAAACGCAGCAAAAATCCTTTTGTTGCATCGAAGCGTAATTAGAAATTTCGCGCGGAACGCGTCCTGCGCAGAACAATGCGCGTGACGAGTCCTGCGCAGAACGATGCGCGTTGACATAAAATAAAGTACACCAGCTGACCGATCACATCTTCTTACCGATTACATTTCGTACCGATTGTTTTCGACACGAAGAGTATCTTTTTTCAGCGCGCAGTCGCACGATCCCGTTTGTTCGCGCACTGGGATTTATGGTCAGTTTCAACTGCGTGGGTTGGCACGCCTGTTACGCGAGTATCGTGTTGTAATATGCCGGCCGGGTCGAGGCTATCGCGGGGATTCGTGAATAGCGAAAGTTTTGGGGGTTAGGTATTTAAATGTGTCTCGATTATTAGATTCTTTTAAATCAGACTCTTTCGAGTGCTTGTGGAAATGAGAAACTTGTCCTGATGAATAAATTCTGTTTCTAATTGGCTTTTAACGAGGAGATTAGAGGTTAGAATAGGTCAGATCTTTTGAATGCTCTTACCAACTGAGAACTCCTTTTATAAATCTTTTGTATTAATTTCTTTTGGGAGATTAGAAGCAATGCACATTAAATTCAATTTATTTCTCCGTAACTAGAGAACTGATGGACCGCTTTATGGAAATTGTTAATAGCAACGGAAACTGTTCTTGAGAGAAAATCTACATCAGACGAACAATATTCCATTGGAAATTACATACGATATTCATCAATCATTTACGATTGATATTAATTCGTAATGGTATGTAATAGTAAAATCATAATAGTAATAAAAATATTTACGATTGATATTAATCTGTAATGGTAATAATAATTGCAATAACAAAACCTGTATGAATATATGTGATATTTTTCCAATGGCTACATCTCTTATATAGCAAACAGCGTATCGTATGAGTATAAATACTCGTAGAAGCTGTCCTCGGATGTTAAATGACAGCGTCAAGCAACAAGACGAGAGAAAGAGAGAGAGAGAGAGAAAAGAAAGAAAGCGTGTTGGCTAAATAGACTCGTTTAGCGTATGGGTTGTTTCATAACAGGGCGCCAAGTGAAATCGTCCCAGCGATCGCGATAATCGCATCCCGCTGCGAAGAAAACGCAAAACGCTCGCGCGTAGCTTTTCGATCGAAGCCAGTCATTCAGTTTAATACGAGCGTATCAGGGGTGCACAAAACCAGCCATTGTATGTTTACTTGCTCCCCTCTGTGTTTCAACTTTCTCGAGTGCTCAATACCTTTTCTTTTAAAAATATGTAATGTGTTCACGTGCTTTCCAACGTGAACCTCTATTTTTATCACACTTTAAATAAAGGAATAATTTTCTCTCAGAGATTTATAAATTGCTTATTATTAAATTGCTATCGAGGCGTGAAAATGTTCGGTATATTTATTTAATTAACACGAAGGATGAATTGTTTTAATATGCCAAAATATATAAAATACAAAATACAATATAATATAAAATATATAATATGCAGTAACATAAAAAAATATCTGTTATGAAATTCTACAGATTTTCTCCCAAGTTCTAGTATTTAAAAAATGTCGTATTTATTAAATTGTTGAACAATATAAAATAATATAAAATATATAATATGCAGTAACATAAAAAAAATCTGTTATGAAATTCTATAGATTTTCTCCCAAGTTCTAGTATTTAAAAAATCTCGTATTTATTAAATTGTTGAACAATATAAAATATTATAAAATATATAATATGCAGTAACATAAAAACATATTCGTTATGAAATTCTACACATTTTCTCCCAAGTTCTAGTATTTAAAAAATATCGTGTTTATTAAATTGTTGAACAATGATATAATATGAAATAATATAAAATATATAATATTCAGTAACATAAAGAAATATCTGTTATAAAATTCTACGCATCTTCTCCCAAGTTCTAGTATTTAAAAAATATCGTATTTATTAAATCGTTGAACAATATAAAATAATATAAAATATATAATATGCAGTAACATAAAAAAATATCTGTTATGAAATTCTACACATTTTCTCCCAAGTTCTAGTATTTAAAAAATATCGTATTTATTAAATTGTTGAACAATACAAAATAATATAAAATATATAATATGCAGTAACATAAAAAAATATCTGTTATGAAATTCTACAGATTTTCTCCCAAGTTCTAGTATTTAAAAAATCTCGTATTTATTAAATTGTACAATATAAAATATTATAAAATATATAATATGCAGTAACATAAAAAAATATTCGTTATGAAATTCTATACATTTTCTCCCAAGTTCTAGTATTTAAAAAATATCGTGTTTATTAAATTGCTGAACAATGATATAATATGAAATAATATAAAATATATAATATTCAGTAACATAAAGAAATATCTGTTATAAAATTCTACGCATCTTCTCCCAAGTTCTAGTATTTAAAAAATATCGTGTTTATTAAATTGTTGAGCATTTATTACATTGTTGAACAGAAAGAAGATATTATATCCCGATATTGCATCCAATATTCTGACATACGTTCTCTGTAATATTTATTTTTGTACATCGGCGAGCTCTCTGCTCAGATTCGAGCGAACGAGACGGCAGATTGATTGCTTAATAGCACATGCAGATGGAATCAATGGCTTTTCAGACTCTTCTTGCAAAGATCTATGGTATCTGGGAAGTTGATATACCGCGGAACAAGCGTTTATCTGGTAACTTCTATCTGAGATTGTCAGGCCTGACAACGGGGAATTTAATTCGCGTCTGAGCTCGATGGATCTCCGCGATACTGTCCCACCCTTTCAGCTCTTTTCTACACGACATCAGCACGTGGAATTGCCTCGTGCGCTTGTTTTCGTTGCGTTTCGTCCCATCGTCGAGCCGCTCTACGTCTTCATCTAGAGGAAAGTAGCCTGTAACCCGTTTCAGAATTCCCAATCTAGGGGAAACTAGATCGTCGGGCACGCGTCCTGATTTAATCGAACATCCATTCGCATTTCTGTAAAATGTATATTTCAACTCTCATCCATTCTTCGTGACAATTTGACGTTGGTTTCTTGTCAAAATATCATGTTATCTCGCAATGCACGAGCATAGGTATAAAGGAAGGTGCTTTAGATTTTAGATCAGATCGCTGGAGTAAACATTTTTGACAATTACGATCGTTATTATCGGTTTTCAATATTCTAATTTCGAAAACGGTGATCCCGAGACTTCCTGCTTTAATTTCAAAACAGGAAGTTCAACGACATTCTTCCTAGACTAGAACGAAGGGAAGAAGAGGCCAAGTAATGAAACAAATGAAATCCTCACAAATAACTAAATAAAGCAATTCTTTCTTACGAAAGGAAAGAGAAAGCGAGACTGTATTAATTAAATAATTAAACAATTGTTTCTTACGAAAAGAAAAGAGACTAAACAACTTCTTCCTCCTCGCGAAGGGGGACTAAATAATTGAACAAATCCTTCTTGCAAAATGAAAGCGAAAGTAGACTGAATTAACAAAACAATTCTTCCTTTAAAAAAAAAAAAAAAAAAAAAAAAAAAAAAAAAAAAAAAAAAAAAAGAAAAGAAAAAAATACTGCTAGTAGCTAGATAATTCCTCGCCAGATCGAGACACGCAAACTAGAAAGAGGCCGGGAGTTTGAAAACGCGAATAAAGAGGTTAGGGGAGTAGTAGTACGCGGAAACGGTGTACCGTGTGTACCGTGTGGAAAGATGGGAGTATGTGTCAAGTGCGTGAATCAAGTGGTGTTCGAGGCGAGGCGTTATCGAGGATCGACCGCTGGCGATTGTTCCGTGGACAGGTTGTTGTTGAGGATCGCCCACGCTTCGCAGATACCTGCACACAAATACCCCCCTTTCCTCGTTGTAATCCTTCACAGGCCGGTTAAATGTCAGGTTACGCCTGTGTATTCGTGTACTTTGAATATTAATGAGCTACAGGGTGGCCCGAAGAAAATGGGGTTGCGCTCCTTCTCCTCGATCGTCCGCTATTTTGTTTACGTTAGAGCGATGGATTGGACACGAGCCACCGCGGCTGGCTTCTGTGAATGAATAGATTTCCTTTTTCGTGCGGACTGTGGCTCGGGAGAAGTGGCTCGGGAGAAGTGATTTTGAAGGAGAAAGTAGTTACAGGCACTGTTGGACATTCAGGATCGCGGAGGCGTAGCAATAGGGATTTATCAACGAGAGTTTTTTTCAGCCTTGTAGAACTTTGGAAGGGCAACACCAAGATTTTGAAGTGTTGAACCGCTGGCAACTGATTTGCGGACCGTAACGAGCGACCATAAACCGTATACGATAATTCGTCGCTTTCTTTTTCATTTGAACTCGTCGGATAGAAATGATCGAGAAGCAACAAATTTATTAGGCATACTTCAAATTGAGAAATATATTGCAATTTTGGGAGAAGAAATTGTCGACGTGCGTGGCACGTCATTCCAAAGTTTGGAATCTAGTATTGTTCTCGAGTCTCTGGAGGAGGGAAACGTTGAAGTTTCGGAGAATTAGAAATTTAGAGCCGACATCTGAATATTTTAGAACTTGCAGATCCTGAAAATCTGAGAGCATTTAAGATTTTGGAGTGTTGAAAGTTTAGTGTTTGGCAGGGAAGCGTTGAAATTTCGGAAATTTGGGACTCGCCAATCTTGTGAGCTTGTATGTAGATTCTGAAAATTTGATAGTTGAAGCATCTTCGAATTTTCGAAAAAAAAAAAAAAAAAAACAACAACAACGAAAGAGTTCAGACATAAACCAGAGATTGCATTCGGCGTCCAAATTTGGTCACGAGAAATGATTATTTTCTCAGTAATTATTCTCAGTAATTATAGCGTCGATGAAGAAATCAAAAGAAAAGTCTCGTTAATTGAACGCGAAGGCTGGCGAAACGTTCACGGCGGGTGAGAACTCCGAACATAAAGAAGTCAAAGGCGATTATCTCGATCGTACATTAGTCTGGTTGCCCACGCAGTGCTATTCGGCCATCGTCGAATCCTAAATCCCGTCGAAGTCCGCTCGAACAAACAGCGAGGCAGCTGGTGACGTTCCTTGCCCAACATTCACGCGCGATCGCACGTGGAAACTACCGCGATTCGACGTTACGCAATCACGATTGCGTATACTGATCACGTTCCTCGCAGTATCTCTTCCTCTAATTTTTTTTTTTTTTTCTTTTTTATGCAAGATTGTACATCCGGTAACTTTTTACTGATTTTTTTTTTGGCTGGATTGTATGTCTAGTAATTTTTTAATCCTGGAAATTTAGAATTTGCAAGTTTCTAAAATATATATATATATATATATACATATATATATATATATATATATATATATATATATAGAATTATCCTGACATGATTAAAAAGTTACTAGATGTACGATCTAGCGTAAAAAAGAATGTGTATAATTTTTGTGTAGAAAATTATTCTATATACAATTGTTATATCTCTGTTATATAGTGTATATAATTATTTTTTATTTTCTATTTCCATCTTTGATACAATATACATCTTGTAATTAATATATACATATCTTGTATATCTATAAATTATGTACAACGCTTTACACGATGCAACATGTTCTAATAACTGATGTTTACTGAAAACTCAGAAGAAAATCGTGAGTCAAGGCGTGACAAAGTTAACAATAAAAGTAAAAGGAGCCTAAAGAAAGAGAGACTAAGGAACTAAAAGCAACTACTTTATCAAACTATTTTAAAAGGAACTATTTTTATCAAAACTAAAAAGGTGTTGGATTCCGTGTAATGGAGTCAACGCGCTTACAATTTAGAAGAGTTTATTCCCTTACAGTCGTGGTCGTGTATGAAATAGGATGATATACAATGATTTAGAATGTCTTAGAATATGATGAATGTCTAATGCTTTTAACGATATAGAATGTCTCTATAATGATTTAGAATGTTTTATGAGTGTAATGTCTCTAAAGCATGTCCTTACATGTATATATTTGGTTATCATCGTCAAGTGCAAGAGGAAGGAGCACAGATGACCAACTATTGAATCTTGCCCTTATAACTAACTTCATTCACAGTCCACTTTTATGTGGACTGTTGCTAGCTTATTGTCAGTATTTGCATAGATTCAATATTATATTCCCCGGGTTGGTCATCCAATAAAGGGCTAATATTTGTTCCCATTTTCACAAAAAACCTAAATTTCGAAGAGCAAACCTACAAATTACCAATTCCGAGTCAGAGTATCACAGTGGAAAAAATCCCTAACCTCTCTGCTTCCCTGTTTCGCCTGTTGCAGAGCAACCCGTGCAGGAAGAGAGGTCCTGCGTCGAGACGGATAGCATCGAGACGGGCCTGCGAAAGACGCGCATAGGCCCAGCCAGCCCCCTCCGTGCCTCGCCCTCGAGGAGCGTGGCCTCCTCCTCCGGTGATCGGACACCGCGCGCCAATTCCATCGTCCGCGAGAACAGCAACGTCTCGAGAGCCTCGTCGGGCAGCAAGACCCCACGCGACAGCAACTCCAGCCCCGAAGGTAGCCCGCTGAAGCGCGGAACCATCCGGAACAGCCTCCGGAAACCACCGCCAACCGGCAGCCTGAGCAAGGCGTCCGTCGTTCCGAAACCGTGTCAGAGTCCGGTGAGCGGCAGCAACACGTGGAACGGCAGACAAACACGACAGAGGCCCAGCATCCAGTCGGACACGTTTCTGAGCCCAGGGCAGGCATCGTCAGCGGCGCCGCTATGCGCGACCACCGCCGCCAACCCGTCGGCCAGTTTCGCGAGGAAGAGCCCGGCCAGGCAGAGTCTGCCACGGCAGAGCTCGAACGGCGGCGTCCAGTACGACAGAAACGGTAGAAGGGTGAAGACCACCGGGTCACTTCAGTCCTCGCCGACCAAGGTGAACCCGCTGCTGGAGCAGATTCTGCAGAAGGTCGGCCATCTTCAGGACGAGCGCGAGGTGATGCAGAAGCTGCAGGATCTTCTGAGGGACTATCAGGCGCACAGCGGAGGGGACGGTGTGGCGAACATGGAGTTCACGAGGGCGTGGATCGACGGTAACGGGACCGTGGCGTTGCCGCAGGACAATCAGATGACGGCCAGTCCTAGGAAGGATCCGAAGCCTGCCTCGGAGAGGGGAGGTTTCTCGAGGATACCGGCGCCGGTCTACAAGAGGCCGATGTCCGTCGCGTCCGACAGCGTGTGAAGGCTTCGACGACGACGACGAGCGTGTGTCCTCGAGCGTGTCATCGGGCTTGGACTATGCGCGAGCTGAGACGTTCCCTCGTTTCGTGGATTCTACGCGGTTTTTTTCATGATCGCGCGGTGGAGAGGGTGAGAAAGGGTGATTGCGTGAAGGTGGTGGTTCCCCGAGTCGGCGACACTGACTGGCATCCCCGTCGAATGATCGTTGGCAATGATCGTTTGGAGACACTGACACTCTCGGTGCGTTTGGTAAGTGATCAATAACTGCGATCGACGACCCTGGTTTTAAATACTCGGCCTACGTTATCGGCGCGTTCCTGTTTTTAACGCTAGAACTGAAAAACCAACTAGTGAAAAAAATTTCCATTTCCAGAGACAAAGTAGTGTGAAAGAAACGGATACCACTATTTGTAACACGATAGGACACGCGAGCTTTTACTTACATGTGTTACATTTCACGATATACCGTTCTGTGTCTAATTAATCATTTTGATAGTTCTGGTGTTAAATGTTTGGCCTAGACGATCGACAGTTGTTCTCTAGCCTTCTAGAGAAAAAGAGATATCGAGAATGATCCGACAGGGGGGGGGGGAGGATTTGTGTAATCGCGAGATTAAGCACAGAATTGCAAGTTGGCAGAGTGTCTAACGATCATTGCCAAAGACAGGCCCTTTTGGAATCCGTTCTCCTAAACTTCTCAGTCTCAAATTTCAGTGTATGTAGGGGCCAGTTAGTTCTCAGTCAGGGGAAACACTGTTTGTGAAAACGCGTTTCTATGGTGCTTGGCAGATCACCCTTTCCCTTGTGGAACCTCGTGTAAATAGCGACGCTCTTGTCGAAAATTCTACAAAAGAATCGTTCCCATTTTCTATCCGTTTCGTTTAGAGAGCAGATCAATCACTCTTCCCTCGCGAATTCCATCGAGAGTCAGGAGGGAAGAGGTTCGAGAAAAAAAAAAAAAAAAATCTCAGCAAATCCGCGTTCTTGAAGACTCTGGTTTTCCACGATGTCGGATCGAAGGCGGCATAGTGTGGTAAGGAAGCATAACCAGGGCCTTAACGGTACGGGGTCGATCAGTTTAGCTCGTAGGAGTCACGGTGTATATCGGGGTGGTGCTTGCATGGTGCTGAACGAGATGACGTTCGTGATTCAGATAAGATTATGATAAGGTGACCAAAAGTAAAAGAGTTTGCAGAACGAAATGCATCAATAAAAACAAAACAAAACAAAAAAAAAAAGAGAAGAGAAAGAAGAAGAATAACTGAAGAGCACGACGAGGAAAGGAAAAAAAGAAATGAAGCAGGTAGGTTTTTAGATGTTAGGATGAAGGGACGAGAGAGGCTCGGTCTCGTCGACGAACAACAACGATTTCGATTGATGAACAGACGGAATTCAAGCGGGCAAATTAGCTGGTGTGCCGGCTCTTGCGTTAATGGCTTCCCGATCGATTTGCTTCCAGTCAGTTAATTGCACCCCGGCTGACAGCTCGTCGATTGATCCGAGACGAGAGATTACACCTTGCACCGTGGACACACGCGACGTGATTTCTTTCTCTCGTCGTGACACGTTTTCCTTTTTTTCTTTCTTTCCTTTCCCTCTCCTCGCGTGACTTGCGATCGATAACTCATTGCCTCTGTTTCCTATTGCGAATTTTTTTTCCACTTATCCATCTTTTATACCATCTCAGTTCTTTGACCGGAAGCGAAAGACGGGTTGGAGGAAATTTGTTTTTGGAAATTTTTAGTTTTCAGAATCTTTGGAGCATGGGAGAGCGAAAAGTTGGAATACTGAGAATACTTCTACTCTTTTCCCTTTTTTTTTTTTTTTTTTTTGGCTTATTTGTTTGTTTTGTGCAGAGGAGGACGTGTATCTGTTAATTTAGAACATTGACGACGAGGGGATTTATTTATTCGAGGCACATTTGGAATTTTTTGGACGAAGGAAAGACGAAAGGCTGGACAGTAGTTTCGCAAAATGCGAAACGTTATCTCATTTTATGTAAAATAGACAGTGGAAGTAGATTCGTTTCTTGAAATTTTGGGATTCGTGTGAATTCACAAAATCCATTGGCTTCTGGGAAATTGTACATAAAATCAGTATAATGTAATTGTACACAAAGTTAAAAATCTTGATTAGAACTAAAAGTCAATTCTAATTACTTTATTAAAAATTAACAATCTCGAAGGTTTTTTTTTATTTTTTCTCGGCAATGAAAATTCCACAAAATTGAAAGTTCCCCACTGCCAAAAAATTCCACTTGAAAAAAAAAAAAAAAGTCAGACTAGAAAATCGTCAAACGTGAAGTCGTTCTCACCCCTCGAAAGAATCTCCAAAAAATCGATCGCAAGCTGACACCTAAGAAAGAAACAAAGAAAGAAAGATGAATCGCGTCGTGTCGTGTCCATTTTCATTAGCTTAACGCACGTTACGCAACAGGTCGACGAGCGTAAATCGCGATCCCTCAACGATCTTTGTGAAGAAAGAAAAAAAAAAAAAAGATAGATAGATAGATAGGTAGATAGAGAGAGAGAGAAGCGATCGTGGAGGAATCGACGAGAAGATCTCGGGCTTCAGAATTTCTACGTTCGATGGTAATTCACCGCGGCCCTCCGGTCCGGCGAGAAATTATTTATTTATATAGTCTATCGGTTGTATTTATTGAAGACGATTTATTTACGCGTTACGAGTTCGCTTGAGGGAGGAAAGTGGCAAAGAGGAAACAGCGTGTAGCCGAGAGTCGTAGGTAGAGTTAGAAAACGAGAGAAGGAAGCGGAAAGAAAGGAGGAGAGACGAAAGAGAAATCAAATTCACCCCGGAGAACAGAGAACTGTATTATTGTATGTAGATAGCGACGTGTCGTCGGACAAAACGCCATTCCAATGTTTCACTGTTTTTTATACCAAACGCGAGCGTAGCGGCATTTTGTATCAAGTGTCTTGCGATGGGGCGGGGAGGGTGGGACGTGGTTTCCGGTTTCTCGCGGAAGCCAGAGGAACGGAAGTTTCTGCAGGGGGGGAAATTTTTGCGTAGGAGTAGACAGTAGGGTAGATTTACAACGTTGGATTGAATTGAAACGGTTCGATTAAATTTTAAATAGAAAATCAACAACGACAACAGGCTTCCCTTAAATTTAACAATAAAATTTCTGATTCATCTCGAGATCTCGTGGTCCGAGTCAGCGAAATGGAGATTGAACGATACGGAAGTGAAAGATAAAGGCGGGGGAAAGATCAAACCGTCGCTTTCACGTTACTTTTATATTATCGATAATTTTGCAAAATTTGCGAAAATTTCACGCGTACGAAACGTTTTCGAGGACGAAACGTAGCCTAGGAAGATGACCTACAGAGAGCGAGGAGTGCTTGCAAATCAAAATGAAGCTACCTACTACAATTTTCGTAGCGAGACAAACCGAAGGAATAGAGCGAATATTTTTTTAACAATTTGCCTAGTGGAGAACTGTCGCGTTCTCGCGGCCTAAGCTCGGCCTCTCGTAGGCTTCCGTTTCTTCGGCAACGACCGCGTCCCGCCGCAGAGAACACCGCGGTCCCCACCACCCGCTGATTAATACTAATTAAGAGGTACACTTCCCCGGCGGGAAGGCAGAGAAGTTTATTTTGTTGACCAGATGTTCGAGTAGAGATAATTGTAACGGGATATAACGTGTCCTCGGTATACAGGTGGGCGAAAGAGAGAATGAAAAATGGAATTATTTTTTAGCGAGGCGCGTTAGGCGCGCTTCCGGAAGTTGCTGTGGCCTCTGCGATGCTTGGGTCTTCTTACACGCGATTGCACGTATCTACCACGGTTTTATCTCTACTTTACTTTACGTTCATCGCGAGGTGGAATTTCACTTTAGCTTATTAATCTTCGAATGTGTTATACTTTCATTTCAGTGAGTGTACGTTTTGTTTTGTTCGGAGGGTTTCTGAAAAATGTCAAATGAGAATACCTTAGGCAATTAAAACTTGAGGTGGCAAAGCAAAACTGAAGACGTTTTTTTTTTTTTTCAATCACGCGGTAGCATAGCTTTTCGTAAAAAATTGATCTTCTCCTGCGCCTCTTTTTCCCTTTCGTGCGACGCATGCCAAAGAATTTTCTATTCTCGTTTCGTTTCTCTAGATCTTGCGATTAATTAAAAAAGAAGAAAAAAAAAAAAAAAACGTCTTCGAAAATGAACGATAATAACCAACCCTAAGATAGATAGATATATATATATATTTTAATTCCCATCCCCTAGTGTAATTTTATTTTATAAGGACACAATTTTCTACGAAAATGGTGAAAAAAAAATCACAAAAAAAAGGAGATAAATGAATAAAATTGATAAATACGTAACACTGAAATACGTAATAAAAAGGTCGCAAAAGTCCAAGAGGTGTAAGAAAATATTCGTAAAATAATACTTCCCGTCCAGAACCGTTCTCGATACAGACATTCAGACTGTGAAAAAGCAAAAAAAGAAAAAAAAAAAAAGAAAAAAAAAGAGAAGAAGAAAAGGAAGAAAGATCAGAGGCCACAGTAGTTCGTTCCGGAAGGCGCAACACAAAATTGCTCGTAGATTTTTCAAAGTCTCGAAAGACGGGGCAGAGGAGGAGGGGGGGTGAAAATAATCGCCAATCGTGTTTTATAAGCTTAAGCTTCGTAACCCCAAGCAGCTGCGGTTTTTCTGACCGCGTCAACGACGAGGAACGAAAAAAAAAAGAAGGAACAATAATGATGATTACCAATATTAATATTATTATTGCAGCAGTTGCAAAACCATCGCTATTATTATTAATAATATTAAGAATGATTATTATTATTATTATTATTATTGCGATGATTATTATTATTACGACTGTTATCATCATCGTCGTCGGGCAAGGATGACGACGACGATAATGATGACGGGACGATTGATCATTATGATTATTATACGCAACGTTGAGTATGTTATGTTATATCATTTTATCTACGAGAAGTTGTACATTGAGAGAAAACTTGCATTAAAAAA